ATATATATATATATATATATATATATATATATATATATATATATATATATATATATATATATATATATTCTTCGCACATCGGCCTGGGTACACTCATTCAATCGGGCTCGATCAGGTCTACCCATTGCGCAAACTTTCTTGAAGGTGCTATAAACGGATCAACGTCAAAAGCTGGTTTTAAATTTTGGCACTGTTTCAGCACGGTCGTTTGCCTACAAGTGCACCAATTTTCTGCCTTCATCAAAGTTTTGGACTTATCGGAAAGCTTATTGTTAGGTCTACTTCAAGAGACCTAAACAAACCCTGTTGGTAGCTGCACAAGGCAACTAGAAGCAAGTATATCTTCATACACCGCCTTGGTTGACCAAGTGCTCTCACGCCGCATTGCGAATCGCGCTCTATCGAACGCACGCAAACCTCTTTGTTTGGCCGGATTTGTGCGTGTGCGCCTGCTGGAACACGTGACATAACGTGACGCGGCGCGCCACGGAATTGACCTCAGGGCTACCTGATGAGTCAAATACACTAGTTTTGCATTTTGTTCTAACTGTTTCTTCCATATCTTTATTTTGTCTGATAGTGAAGATATACTTTTAACAAGACCAACTAATTTTTTAATAGGTGGTCTTTCAGATTCGTTTGTCTTACTAAACAGTGCAACACAGTACATGGTCGTATTGCGATCCGAAAATCGTTCACCTTGGGTTACCCATGAATTCTTCATTCCGCAAATGAGCATAATCTCCCAGCTATATTTTTGTGGCTTCCATTAACTTGTCAGGTGCATGAATTCTACTCCTTCTGCCCTCTGGACTACCACTTACTTCAGGTTCAAATATACATGTTAGTACTGATAGTTTGTGGACCGCGCCAAAGCAAACCATGATTGATTGATGACACGGTGCGCTACGTCACATTCAATAATTATTGTGTGCCGGGCGATAATTTCACTTAATAATCTTAGTTTCAATCTGTTGTTTCTCGTTCATATAATCTGCTATTACTTGTTATTTCATTGCTCAGGAAGGGACGCAATTGTTACCGAAACATGTATATTATCCCGTATCACAGGCTCAGTAATATACCAAAATCTCCGGTACATTAATACCAATGCACCAGCAAAAATCCCACTCTGTTACCTACAAGATATTTAGCGACAATAGCTACATGCGCTGCTTGGGCATCATGCATATATCTGCCTCTCCTCGCCGTTAGCGTGTCCCATATTAGCTACTGGACGTATTTTAAAATTATCTGTTCATAGCTTGTCCGTGTACGACAATCGGCCTTCTACACTATAATATCTATGTAAGAACACAATTACCTAGCAAGTAGGATAAACGAAAGCGAAAGTATAAACGAACCGTTGCATCAGCACAGTAACAAGCGCTACCCCTTCATCTCTATAATTGGGGATCGGCTGCAATAGTGTTTGTCCATCTGTTTGGCAGCCTTTTGTTTGCTGCTAGACATTTCTAGGTCATTCAAGGGATGCTGTCACCCTTCTAGAAAATCATACTATGGCAGCGGCTGATGCAGACTCGAAATTCGCAAATACACCATTGTGGTGCCAGCCTTGGTGTACACGGATCTATCGACTTTCTATGCATAGCAGATTAACCTTCGGATGCTACAAATTGGTGCTTCTGGACGACGTCTACTCAATGTCTTAGATATTATGTCCAATTCTTACATAGCCCGAACGGTTGGATTTATCTCTGGACTTTTTCTCCAGATCACTTATAAAAATACCATTCGCTTGGAGTTACTTTTGAAATCATTATGCAAAACGTCTAGTCGGAAATGGTCTCTTTTACCGCGATTTGGTTTATCTAGTTGGCTACTGAAGACAGATTCTCTTGATTTGTTAAACCTAACCGTGTAATGGGGCACTAAGAGTCCGTTGTCTCAGACAGTGTTGTTGTCCTTTATGTGGCCTGAACAAATAGTGTCGACCCATTCTATCAAATAAACTACACTCATCAAGGCTTTGCTGTAAACAACAAGAGGACAACTAACATTCCAATGGTTCCACGTCGACTATGTTGCGCAGACAACTGCAGTAAAGTGCTTACGATCAGTATTACCTGTTCTAGCTGCATTAGATCGTACTGTCCGCAATGTGCAGGCAAAGCCATCCAAGAAGTGAGACAGACAAACCAAGTTGCTGACACAGTTTGGTTTTGCCCAACATGTCAA